TATATATATGTGTGTATGTATGCATAGGCCTATGTATATATTATATATATATATATATATATATATAAACTTGCATAATTCAGATTTGTTGCTTATAAAAATACTGACACCATATTTATATATATATATATATGTATATGTATATGAAATATAAATATATATAAAATATATATATATATATATATATATACATACATACATACATACATAGAACCTTGCATGTCAATATAACACATAAATTAATTTAGATTTGTTGCTTATAAAAATACGGTGGGCGTGGTCGTGCGTCGCTCAAAATGTTTTGGAAGTGATCCACGACAATTTAGGGGTTTCAAATGTTTATTTAGGCGATTTTAGAGTATAGGGCCTATACTAATATCTAAAAAATATATATAAAAAATATATAAATTTTTTCTTCTTCCCGACAATGTGTGTTTTTCTCCCCGACATGGGGGTGGGGGGACTCTCCACCCCACCCCCGGGTGCCAACCCTGGTAACTTATTTCATTCTTCTATATAACTAATTCAATGTTTTAATCGATTTTTTTGTAATTTTGTTTGTAATAAGTCCATTTTAAATGGATGTTTGTCTTCTACCTGTACTGTTTCCTTATTCTAGCAACTACTAAAGTGCTGCCGTTTTCCCTTTTGTTGAACAGTTTTTAGTCGTTTTTATTCGGATACGCCTCCATCGGGCTTAAGTTTTGAAGAAGTTCGTACACTAATTCATAGTAAAGATATTCAGCTAATTGATGTACGGGAACCAGAAGAAGCTTGGAAAACTGGGTCAGTTGATCCAGCAATTTTAATTCCATGTAAGTATAAAAAAAATAAAAGTAATTATTGTACATTACATAAATTTAAGCAGAAAGTGTATCCGTGTACGGTATGTGATGGGGATAATCTATAGATTGTTTTTTAAACTGTATTCGAAAATGGATAGTCTACCAATGTTCTCGCCATACTTTTGATCCACATCCTTTCATACTTTTTCAAAATAAAATGTAATTATCCGGTTTTACTTATCCTGACAAAGACAGGTAAATACAGTGTTCGAACAAAGGACATGATTGTATATCATGTAGAATAGTTCTCAAAGAATGTTGTCCTATAAATAAACACATTGTGTAATAAAATCCTCCGACGGGATTCGAACCTGCGACCTATCGCTGTCAAAGTGAACGTCATACCCATTAGACCAAAGAGCGGCAAGATTGAACAGATTCAAATAACCATCAGAACAAGGCATTTAATGAACAAGATGCAAGCGTTTAATGTTAAAGCAGACGTGTTTCGAGAAAGCCAATTCTCATCATCAGTGATAAAGACAGTACTCGAGCATAATATATATATAGGCCTATATATATAATATATATATATATATATATAATTTATATATATATATATATATATAGGTAGCATACACTAATGTACTCTTATTTACTGCTTACAGTGGGAGAACTTAAGGCTGCGTTAGAGATGAGCGAAGAACGATTTATTGAGCACTACGGCAGGGAGAAGCCTCTGTTATATGATAAGAACATCGTGTTTATGAGTTACAGGGGGCCACGTAGTAAAGCTGCCGTTGAAATTGCCAGTGTCCTTGGATACAGGTAAGATCATTTTTTAGCCCCCCCCCGCCCCATCGCCGCGCCTCATACAGATGTAACGATGATGCACATGCAGCACACGCAGAAAGTTCCATTTTGGTCATAGGGATGGGTAGTTAATTATGAAGTCAATAGCACTATAGTATAAGTAGAATGAAAATAATGATGATTCAATCGAACAATCAGCATCACCGTCGGCGAAAGCGTGTAGCGATTGTATGGAAACCAAGCTTCACAGGGACTACTACAATGTTAATCAATGTTGAATTCACTCGGCTGTTATCGTAATTTTTAGGCCTTCTTTAATATTAGTGTTTTTTTTTCTTATACAGATCTAGATATTTCGAAGGAGGATTTTCAGAATGGACTCAACATCAGAAGAAAACACATTGAATTCTCTGAATATTGTATTGAATAATGGACTACGATTTCTTCAGTTAATAGCAGCTATTTTGACGCTATAACTTAGTGTATTAAAATACATATGTAATTCTAAGGCAGATTAGATCAGATGAACATTGCTCTAATAGAAGAACAATAACACACAGTGCTCATTTAATATTTGCGCACTGTTCTATTGTTCCCCTATTAGGTTAATGAATGTATGTTAATTGTATCAAGCAAAGCTCTGTGAAAAGTTTTCACCGGAGAAACTCAAATCTGCAACTTCTCGCTCTACCAAACTGACGTCATACCACCAGAACACGGAGACCTAAGTATATTACAATAAGATTGAAAACCAGCGTGTCATACATCAGACAACTCAATAGAAGCCAGTTTATTACAGAACGTTTCACCAATAATTAATTAATTAGAGCAATATTAAATAGCATTCAAATTTCTGTGTTTGGTCATTGTGCACACGTGTCTTTTCACAATATAATATGCAGTCTACAAACGCCAAATTAATTATGAATAGTTGCCGAATGTTGCCAGTTTAGACGGCTACAATTACCAGAAATGCATGTATTTACCATCTAATCTAAACTGTTTGTCTTAACTACTATTGTTTCATTACAATGTTGTGTTTGCCTTCTCAATATCTGCAAGTATTTAAAACCATGTTGACAATTATATAAAAAATTTGTTTTTCTTGCTGAATAAACAGGAACTGCAAGTTGTTTTATGATTTCAAATGTTTATTTCTTTTAATCTCCTTGTTTTACTACCGGATATACTGATTTATTTCTAATAGCTCTCTCATTAAGTAAAAAAAAAGAATTTCCACAAACACACAATGTTGGAACTATTAATTCTGCTAATCTATCAAAGTGTATGACATACGCATTTGGTAAAACATAGATCGGAAATAATATCCGTTTATGGAAACCTTTCTTAATTACAATAGCAAAGTGTTTATCAATATACTGTATTATGTCGTCAATGTATTTTTAAAAACATAGAAATGTCCAGCTGTATTATATGCCCGTTGGCGGTGATAACGATGATCACTTGCAGTCGCCAATGCAATTCTTCTGAAACTCCATAATTCATTCATGACATTTCCTTCCAATCCCTACGGGAGTTCATGCTGCATACGGTAACTTTAATTTTCACATAAATTTATTCTCAAATGTATACGATCCACACAAGTTCAAAGATATGGACACTTGCTAAGAGTGGCGGATTCAAGGGGGAACAGCCAGTCTCCCCCTTTAATTCATTTAAAAAAAATAAAAACAAATTGAGAAAAAAACTTTCTACTCAAATTTTGAGTCTAAGAGTGCCATTTCCGACCATCTAGAGGTGCCATAATCATAAATGTTCTTACCTCAGCCTCAACCATGGTGGGGCTGAGGTATGATAAAATCGTTCTTACTTCTACGATTTTATCGTTTTTCCATGATTATGACTTTATTTGAATTGATTTGTAAAAACTTCTCTTATTTCTTTTATTTTCTATAGGCCTATGAACAATTGCTTTTTAGATTTTTATCGTTATCGTTATCGCTGCAAGTATAAACAGGCTTTATTGCAACATTTTAAGCTACGTACACTCGCTTCGTACAACGAATCTATCTCTACTCTCTGTAATCACTTGACGACGTAAACCAAACCAAACTTTGAAGTTCGTATTATTTGAAATTATTAACTAATTAGTCATAGATACTAACGTTTAATTAACTAATATATCATCGATATATAGGCCTATTTATATATATAGTATATACATAGTAGGCCTATATGTTATATATATAGGCCTATATATATACACTACATACATATATGTATACATATATAGGCCTATATTATTATACACATACATATATATATACATACATATATATACATACATATATACATATACCG